GTTCCGTTGAACCAGAACTTGGTGAACACCTACTATGTGCTGGATGTTGAAAATGTAAGACAATTAATCTCAGAGACTTGTTTAGTCTCTGATATTATATGGTAGATTTCAGCATTTCCCAACAAAGATTTCAAACTGCTGGGGAGCCCAGACTCAGAAGAAAGATTTGTCTCCAAGCAGCCATCATTGATCCCTCCAAAGCTAATATATAAATGCCATAAAATATATATATGGCATTTTATTTCAGGCCCTTGGTCACTGTACCTGGAATTAATTAAGATTTGGTCCAGGAGCCACTTAATTGCTTATACTTTAAATGTGGGAATTCAAGGGAGAGCTGGAAATGATGAGACAAGTCATGCATAATGCATCCCCCCTGCCCCTCACTGAGTGACCATTACACTGATGGGTATTATTTAATTTTTTTTTTTTTTAATCAGCACACGGTGCCAAGAACCTGGCATTTTCAAATACTCATTAGTGCTATCCTCTGGGGCCTAAGAGAGCAGTTATTAAGGGATGAAGTCTCAAGAGACAGAATGAAGCGCAGTGGCTAACAATGACAGAAGTTCAGGTGTATCAACCCTCATCACTTACGGAGGCATCACATGGCTAAATTAGCTTTCAAAGTCTTAAACCGAACATGCAAGGCTCACAAATGTCATATGGCCTATTCTCTGGAGGTTAAATTTAGGTTTTCCCTGGCTCTGGCTGCCAATTTGAAAGAAAGGAAGATGTCAGCGGGTGTGGAGTTGACGTGGTGGGTAGGAGGCTGCCAATGTACAATCCACTGACGCTGACATTAAACTGTCTCTGGAAATCCGAGCCATGGAGCAGCGTCAGCGGTCCCCAGACTTGCCCAGATTGCTCGTTAGCCCTCCCGTTTGCTCCAGCGCAACATCAATTTGCTACAGTTGACTTGCCTGGCCAAGGGGGTCCAGCCACCCATTTGCCTTGATGATAATGGAGGGTATTTAGAAGCAGTCAGCAATCTGCTGGGCTGGCATTAAAAGAGCAAGGTAAGAAGAAATGCTACTCAAAGGACCACAGGCATGGCAATAGAGGAAATGCGCACAGTGAGCCCTGGGGGTAGGCACATTGGAAAGGAAGACTACAGATTGAGAAGATGTTTACTTTCTTACACTGCCATCCTGTGACACGATCTCTCATACAAACTGTCTTTTCATGGGGGCCTCCCTTTAAGGGACTGGTGGGAAACCCTCCCCCCCCCCCCATCTAAGAGGTGAGGGTCTCAGCGGTCAACCCTGCATAGAGAGGTGTTATTTTCTTGAATAGGTTATTGGCTGCATTTAACAAAAAAAAGCCAAGAAGACGGGGGCTTAAGTAAAGTAGAATTTTTTTCTCCCTCATATGAAAAATAAAGTTTAGCTCATAGAAGCAGAGAGTAGAATAGTGGTTGCCAGGCCTGAGGGGAGGAGGAGGAATGGGAGAAGTTGGTCCAAAGGTCCTAAGTTTCAATTACAATATATAGAATGACTTTCTAGTGATCTAATGGACAGCAATATGACTAAAGTTAACAGTACAACATTGTGTACTTAAAATTTTCTAATCTTATGTATTGTCACCACACAAAAAAAGAGGAAGGAAGGAAGGAAGGAAGGAAGGAAGGAAGGAAGGAAGGAAGGAAGGAAGGAAGGAAGGAAGGGGGAAAAGAAAATGGTAAATGGTGAGGTGATGGATATTTTAATTATTTTGATGATTATTTCACTACTAGAGGCCCAGTGGTTCCTCAGCCCAGCTTGCACCCTCTCCAATCTGGGATCTCTTGGGGGATATCCAGCTGCCAGTTTAGGCCGATCTCACATGGATTGGACCTAAACTTGCAGTCAGACATTTCTCTCGCAATCCAGGACAACTGGCTCCTGCCTGCCTGATTATTCACTAACCCCTCCCCTGCCTGCCTGATCATCCCTAACTGCCTCTGCCTAGGCTCCCACCACCATGGCTTTGTCTGGAAGGAAGTTGGACATCTGGCTCCTCACAGTTCCCTCAGATTTGGTTCTGGTTGGTTGGTTTCCAGTAAGCATCTGCAGGCTGATCTCCGTGCCTGATCATAGAGGTGGGGCTGATTAGTAGCTGCTCCAGGGTGCTGGATAGTGGGCTGAACTGCTGACCTCTGGGAGAGAGAGAGAGAAGCTTGGCTGCTGGCGAGGCCCAGAGATCAGCCCCACCTCTCACTCTCTCCAAGAGGTGAGCAGTTCAGCCAGCTCACCTGCTTCGCATGCAGCCTGGCATTCAGTAGAGCCTTCAGTCGTTTTGGATGTTACAACTCTGGCTCTTTAAGTGTAGAGATATTTTGTGTCTATAAATACATAATTTTGTCAATTATATATCAATAAAGCTTATATCTCAAATAAAGTTTAGAGGTGGGCCATTCAGAGCTCATATGATGGTTTAAGAGTTCAGGCTTTCCTTCTCAAGGTCACCTCATGGTCCAAGATGGCTGCTGGAGCTCCAGCCATCACGTTCCCATTCTAGACAGCAGGAAGAGAGAAGGGCATTCCTGTGATGACAGTTCTTTCTACATTTTTTTCTCATAATCTGATACATTTCTACTTACATATAAGTGAAGAGAACTTAATAAAATAGCCATACCTTGCCACAAGGAAGGCTGGGATATGTACTGTGATAACTGAGCATTTTGCCACACCAAATATAATCAGAATTTTGTTACTAAGTAAAAATGGGAGAGTAGTCACTAAGTAGGCAATAGCAGTCTCTGCAATTACTGTAAAATAACACTTATTCTCTAGAATCTAGAGAGCCAGACCTTCAAATGCCTTTTCTTTTCTGTTTTTAAAAATATGTTTTTATTTATTTCAGAGAGGGAAATAGAAACATCAATGATGAGGGAGAATCATCAATTGGCTACCTCCTGCATATTCCCTTCTGGAGTTTGAGCCCACAACCAAGGCATGTGCCCTGACTTGGAATTGAACCATGCCCTCCTGGTTCCTAGGTTGACACTCAACCACGGAGGCACACTGGCCGGGCTCAAGAGCCTTTTCAACAGAGCATATGAGTAGTCTAGTGGCAGGCATCATAGAAAAGGAGTCCAGCCATCTCTGATACTTATTAGCCATGTGACCTTGGGAAATTCATTTCAGTGCTCTGCATCTTGACTTCTTCATCCTCCAAATAATGCTCTCAGCCTGGTAGTCTACTCAGAGAAGTATCTGCTAAGATTGTAACTGTGGAAGCAGTGTGTTAAAGAGGGAAGCATCAGACGAAACCGGTTTGGCTCAGTGGATAGAGCGTCGTCCTGCAGACTGAAAGGTCCCAGGTTCAATTCCAGTCAAGGACATGTACTTTGGTTGCGGGCAGATCCCAGTGGGGGGTGTGCAGGAGGCAGCTGATAGATGTTTCTCTCTCATCGATGTTTCTGGCTTTCTATCCCTCTCCCTTCCTCTCTGTAAAAAAAAAATCAATAAAATATATATTAAAAAAAGAGGAAAGCATCAAATAGATGCCACGACTCAAGTAACATTATTATGATCAATGCACATATTTATTATCTTTAAGAAAACTCACTGAGCCTTAGCTCAGTGGATAGAGCATTGACCTACAGACCAAACAGTACTAGATTCGATTCCAGTCAAGGGCATGTACTTTAGTGGCAGGATCCTCCCTGGCCTGAGACATGGTTAGATCTCATGCAGTTGGAAACCATTTGATATGTTTATCTCAGATCAATGTTTCTCTCTGCCTTTCCCCTCTCTCTTCCACTTTTTCTAAAAATAATTTGAAAAATATCCTTGGGTGAGATTTTTAGAAGAAAAGAAAAGAAAACTCATTGAAAATCCATCATTCATCATAGAATTATTATTTATGTTCTATGTTATAATGCTAGTACCTTCTGTGTATATAACACTTTACAAAACATACATCACTTTTATACATGGATTTCATTTCATGCCCACAAACTCCCCTGTGAATGACAGCGGGGAGGAATTGTCATTTACCCAAATTTACTGGTGATCAGATCCAAGTTCAGATAGCGAAGTGGTTCGGCCAAGCTCACTCAAAGCTGCCTGTGAGTGATAGTAACTTCAAGCCTGACAACTCTTCTGATGCTAGCTCTTTAAAAGTGATGAATGATCCATTTTAAGGGTGGGCTGTTGGTATGGCCTTGTAGAGCTGGCACCAGCACCCGCAGCACACAGACACCTGCCTCTCACCTGCCCAAACTGGAAATCCTGTTGTTTCCTCCCCCTCCTCCTCCTTTTCCCCCTCAGCTCTCTGTCTCAGCAAAAGTTACCACCTTCCCTCTCAGCCAAACCAAGGACCCAGAAGCCACCCTGTTCTTCACATTCACTCCTCAACACATTGTTAGTTTTTTTATTTTTTTAAGAAAAATGTATTTTTATTGTTGAAAGTATTACAGATGTCCTCTTCCCTCCTCACCCTCCCCCCCAACATTGGCCCTTCCTCCCCATTCTCGGCCCCTCCCTAGGCCTGCCCAGCACTATTGTCTGTGTCCATAGGTTATGCACGCATACATATAAGTTCTTTGTTTAATCTCTTCCCTCCCTCTCCTCGGATTCCTCTGAGATTCATCAGTCTGTTGCATGATTCCATGTCTCTGGATCTATTTTGTTTGTCAGTTTATTATGTTCATTAGATTTCACATGAGTAAGATCCTGTGTTACTTGTCTTTAACTGACTGGCTTATTTTGCTTAGCATGATACTCTCCAGGTCCCTCCATGCTGTCTCAAAGGGTAAGAGATCCTTCTTTTTCATTGCTATATAGTATTCCATATGTATAAATGTACCACTGCTTTTTTATCCACTTGTCTATGATGGGCACTTGTGCTGTTCTCAGATCTTAGCTATTGTAAATTGTGCTGCTATGAACATAGGGCTGCATATATTCTTTCTGATTGTTGTTTCAGTCTTCTTATGATATATTCCTAGAAGTGGGATCACTGGATCAAATGATTTTTTTTTGGCGGGGGCGGGGGGGGGGTGTGTGTGTGTGTGTGTGTCAAAGATGTTTATTTAGGCTGAATCCTGTGATACATCCATAGGTGTAAAAATACATAATCTAAAGTCAGGGCGATAATGATCAGGTTGGTGTCATCTCCCCCTCTCCCCTTCAGCACAGCCTTTCCAGTGGCTCCCTTCAAATTTCTGGAGTGTGCAGGCCAGGGGTCACTTCTTGGCAGCTTCGGCCTGAACTACCAAATCGGCCTCTTTCTGAGCCACCAAGAATACGGCTCGCTCCTTCTGGAAAGCGGCCAGCTCTTCCACACTGAGATTCTTCACCACGCAAATGCCCAGGGTGCGAGCAGAGCCGATGAGGGAGCGGACAACAGCGGCCAGGGGCATGTCCCGCAGGGTGAAGGAGTTGTCCTGAGCTTTAACACAAGCGATCTCATACACGTGCTTCAAGGACAGCAGGCCTGCCACCTCCTTCCCTGTCTGCCGGGCCCCTTTTTCAATCCCGGCAGCTGCCTTTAGGCAGTAGGTCGCAGTGGGTTGTCCTATCTTGATTTCAAACGTCCTGTCAGGCTTCACAAAGATCTTGGTGGGCAGAGGGATGCCTTCTTTGATGTCCTTCATCTTCTCGTTGAACTCCTTGCAGAACTGGTTGATGGAAACACCTCGCTGACCCCAGGACCGGGCTCAGCGGGGGGGCCCCGGCATGGCCTGGCCTGGCCCACTCGCACTATGGTCTGGATCAAGCCACCGGATTAGCTTTGACATTCGTTCGTTCACCTCGGGTCGACAGCAGCAAGACAGACCGCTCTGGGCACCACCATCTTGTGTCCTGGATCAAATGATTTTTTAAATTCATTTTTAATTTTTTGAGGAAGCACACATTGTTCTTCATAGTGGCCGTACCAGTCTGCATTCCCTCTAGCATTTACTAGGGTTCCCATTTCTCCACATCCTCACCAACTCTTGTTATTTGTTGATTTATTGATGGTAACCATTCTGTCAGTTGTGAGATACCACATCTAGACTATTGACTGTACCTTCAGGATGCCCACTAGCCAATCCGGAGTGAGTATGCAAAATTAACCCAACAAAGATGGCAGGTTCATTTGCATACACAGGTGCCAAGTGGCTGGGGGCAGGGCAGAAGGCTTGTGTTGTCACCTTGGCATCCTGCCCTGCCCCCAGTCGCTCAGGGCCACTGGGCAGCATGGGAAGGCAGAAAGATGGCTCCAGGCCAGAGGAAAGGCAGTGCCGGCAGCCAGGGTAAGGAAGGCCCATTGTTGCACCAATCTTCGTGCATTGGGCCTCTAGTATAAAACATAAGTCTAATTCTAAATTCCTGGTGTACAACTCTGCAATGGTTTCCTACTGTCCCCAAGACAAAATCCAATTCCTTTAAAAATATATATATATATATATATATATATATATATATATATATATATATATGTAGCTCTTTGTGGTCTGGCTCCTGCTTGCTGCCCAAGCCCCATATCTTACTCCTTTCTCATCTCCCATTCTCTCTTCCAGGAAGGTACATGCTCTTTCACTCAAATCTGAATCTTGGGCATACCACTGTATCTGGAAGTACAAACATTTTCTTGGCCTGCTTGATTCCTTCTTGTCCTTTAAGCTCACCCAAGTATCACCTCCTTCAGGAAAACCTTCCTGGTGCCTCCGGCTGCTGAGACAGCCTGTCCAACTGCTCCCCAAACACCTGGCGTTTCTCACCAACAAAGCACAAGACAGGCTGCATTGCTGTTTCTACTTATTCATGCATCAACCCTCTGATAATTCCAGGCCAAGACAGCAATTTACAGGGCTCTTACTTCATGCCAGGGACTGTCCCAGGCACCTCACATGCATGTTATAACCCAGAGGCTCTTTATCCCTTATACACATTAGGACACTGAGGCACTTACAATGTAGGTATCAGGTACAAGTCTCACAGACAGTGTCAAGCTAAGAAACAAGCATAGCGGTAATTGACTCTAGAGAAGTATGTGTCCACCTACACTAAATTTTTATTTTTTTAATGATATATATAATTCACATACAATAGAATTAAGCCTTTTTAAGTATATAATTCAGCCTTTTTATTTTTTACAGTTACAAGGTTGTACAACCATCACCACTATCTAATTCCAGCATATTTTCAACATCTCCCCCAAAACTCCACACCAATTCGCAATCACCCCACTCCTCACTATTCTCAGCTCCTGGCAACAATTTATATACTTCCTACAGTCCAGTAGCCTCATACAACCTATGGACATTTGTATCCGACTTCTTTTAGTTAGCAATTTTTCAAGGTACATCTATGTTGTAACAAGTGTCAATGATCCATTCCTTTTTATGGCTGAATAATATTCTACTGTGTGGACGTGCTATGTTTTATTTATTCATTCATCAGTTGATAAATAATTGGATTGTTCCCAATAGAAAATGGGAGTCTGCCAACTTTGTACTTTTTCAAGATGCTTTTGGCTCCTTTGGGTCCCTTGCATTTACGTATTAATTTTAGGATAGCTTGCCAATTTCTACAAAAAAGGGCAGGATTTTTATATGAATTACATAGACTATGTATATCAATCTAAGAAGTATTGCTACCTAAACACTATCAAGGCTTCCAATCCTTTTTATTTATTTGTCATCTTTAATTTATTCCAACAATAATTTTCAGTGTTTAGTGCACAAGTCTTGTACTTCTTTTGTTCATTTATTCCTGTCTTTTATTTTTTTTGATGCTACTATAAACAAAATTGTTTTCTTAATTTTATTTCCAGATTGTGCATTGCTAGGGCATAAAAATACAACTGATTTTTATATAAAAACATTGTATCCTGAAAACTTGCTAAACTCATTTATTAGCTCTAATAATTTTTAACATGTATATGGATTCCTTAGTATTTTTCTAGGCAAGATTATGTCATCAAAAAGTATAGTTATACATATTTATTTCCAATCTTATTTATTTTTCTTGACTAATTGCTTACCCTGTATTTTCTTGGTAATAATTGTCAGCATTTTAGTGTTTGACACATGCAGGTATTTCATTAAATAAATTTATGTCCTTGGTGAATATCTGCAGCATTTTATGTGTTTTAAATATTCACAGAGCTTCTAAAAATATGGGATTGCATTCACGGATGAAAAACACTTAAGGTAAAACATATTATGAGTAATTCTATTAGGGGAAGCCCTGTGAATGGGCCTCTACAAACTAAACCCAACTCCCTGGGAGCTACAGCAACTATTAGGAAAAGGATGGAAGACCAGTGCTTAAATAAATAGCCAAGGGCTAGTTATTTTGTCATTTCCCCTCAGTCTTAAAAAGCTATGGCAATATTTTATATTATTTTCCTGACATTATTTACTCTCTATGGGCTTTAGCAAAATTTATTTCAACTCTGTAGGCCTCAGTTTGTGCATCTGTGCAATGGGATGGCTGGCACTCACTGTGAGAATTACATTGGATGATACATGTTAAGCACCTCCCAAATGTTTAGCACATGGTATATCCTCAATAAATAATACAAATGTTAATGTTCCTTAGCATTTATTGGATGATTATCATTCCCCAGGCATCACAGTTGGTGTTTTACATGCTTTGTTTTATTCCATTTTCATCCTATCCTATGGGAAAATGCTAAGGATCAAACTAGTGCTGTTATTTATTCAAGATCTTATAACTCCTTAGTGTCATTTCTGGGACCCAGCCTGAGGTACTGTGACACCGAGGCTCATTGTTTTGAACATTACTTACCTTCCTTTTCATTCTCCTTGACTGGATCCTAATCCATTTCATCCCAGGTTTGTAAATACAAGCAAGTATAATTCATAAAATTATTTATTGACTCAATCAACCAACAAGGAATAATGAGTTCCCATTATGTAACAGGCTCTAGAGAAGTCTCTGAGGATAAATTTATGAAGAAGACACATTCCCTGTTCCACAGTCTCAAGATTTATGGAGGAGAGAGAAGGACAGTGCAAAAATAACAACACACCATGATGCATCCTTTATGAGTTTGGACTTTATCCCACAGCACTGTGTCTCTCTCCTCTGTAAAGTTTAACACCATCACTGTTTTATACATGTCTGTGTAAACAGCTAAGTTTGGGTTCCCCTCTAGGGTATAAACCCCATAAAAGTAGTGAGAGTGTTATTTTGGCTGCTATTGTAATCCTAAAACCTAGTAAATGCTTTTTTTTTAAAAATGTATTTTATTGATTTTTTACAGAGAGGAAGGGAGAAGGATAGAGAGTTAGAAGGGAGAAGGATAGAGAGTTAGAAACATCGATGGGAGAGAAACATCAATCAGCTGCCTCCTGCACACTCCCCACTGAGGATGTGTCCACAACCAAGGTACATGCCCTTGACCGGAATCGAACCTGGGACCCTTGAGTCCGCAGGCCAATGCTCTGACCACTGAGCAACCGGTCAGGGCCTACTAAATGCTTGTACGTAGGAGGTATTTCATAAGTAGTTTTTAATGGGATCATTGAAGGAGAAAGAATGAAAGGCATTGATATGGAAAGAAGCATGGCTAGATTGGCACTTTGGGAAAGTTATTTTTTTCTGAGCAGATACAGGGGTACCTGTGGGGAGGATGTTATGAAAATTATACATCCTCACCTTATTCAGCTCAGGTTGGTCATGTAACTTGTTCTGGCCAATTAAATATGAACAGACGTATGCCAATTCTGAGCAGAAGCTTTACTAGTCCTTGCATGGTTCACCAGGAGTCTTTTCCCTCAGCCACAATGAACAGCGATGCTAGATCAAGCGAAGATGGCCCAGAGTGAAGATGTCATGAAGCAGAAAGACAACGACCCACAATGAACTTGTGGTATGACCAAGATTTTATTAAGCCTTGCTAGTAGAAGCCACAGAAACTGTGAGGTCATTTGTTATAGCGACAAAATGTAATCTTTTCTAACTGATCAATGATGAATTTGGTGTGAGGGGTCAGTGAAATAAAACAATGCATATGGAGCTATCTAGCACATAGTAGGTTTCTATAAATATGAATTGTTCCTGTTAATTTGATGGCCTGAGTGTTTCTGTTATCAACATGTGTGTATTGAGCATGGCTATCCCTATCAGGTGTTCTGTTATCATTAAACAAACAAACAAACAAACAAAAAACCCCAACAATATACCAAGTATATTGTCTTGGTCCATTCTGGCTGCTATAAAAGAATACCACAGACAGAGTGGCTAGGAAGCAATGGAAATTTATTTCTCATGGTTCTGAGACTGGAAGTCCAAGATAAGGCACCAGAAAATTTGGTAGCTGGTGAGGACCCACTAGCTGGTTCACAGATGGCCAGTTTCTCACTTTGTCCTTACATGTTGGAAGGAGTGAGGCTGTTCTATTTTATAAAGGCCTTTATCTCATTCACCAGGGCTCCACCTGCATGATCTAATCACTTCCCAAAGTCCCCATCTTCAATTATCATCCCATTAGAGGCTAAGTTTTAAGATGAATTTGGGGAATACACAAACATTCAGTCTATAGCATACACACACACACACACACACACACATATATATATATATATAGCATTTCTCTGGCACATAGTAGATGCACATCATACATTAGGTGCCTTTGTGCCCTCGTCCTCCTACCTCATTGAACACTTTTCTTATAAGAATGTCTCCCCAAAAAACATATCCATCTGCTGATTCACATGGTTTCCCAGTCACTTATTCCTGTTTCCTGCTG